GTCCCCAAGAGTGTGGCAGAGATGGCAGGGTCTTCGGAGCCTGGCTCTCAACCAGATTTCCCATTTTCACCAGGACTTCCCCATTCTGTGCCAGACGTGTCTTGGAGAAAACCCATATATCCGAATGGTGAGTGATCGCGTGTGAAAAGGGAGTTTATTCAGGTTCTGTCATTGTTGTGGTATTTGCACGCTGTCCGTGAATTGCTTCTCTTAGCCAAGCCAAAGTATTGATGCTCCTTTACTAACCCAAAGCATAGGACGATTTGCAAAGGACTGTCATGCTTATTCTGTCTTTGGAACTCAGCAGCAGTCCTGCGATGTAGGAGTCCTAATATAACAGCTAATATTTGTTGAGCATTTATTTACCTAACAGTTAGGTCTGTTAACCAGAGGCAGAGACAGTTACGTCTTTTCAATATGGCAAGTAAGGAGTGGAGCTTGGATTTAAATTCAGATATGCTGACTCCAGGAACCTTAGCAAGGTAGGAGGAGAACCAGGACTAGATTAAATGTCCTGACTCCTAATCAAATGCCTTTTGGCCACTGCACCTCTAGTCTCTTTAGTGTAAGGTAACCCCATCCTTATAAATGAGGGTAAAATAATCAGTAATTAACATTTAATAATTAGAATAGGGCTATGTTGTGATCGATCTCAGAGATCTTGATTGACTCTATATAGAGTGTCTGACAAGATGGGTCTATAGTAGTTACCCCTGACTAACTTTTGTAAAATGGGCTGGCCAGAGCTATGTCCTCCGTGATTTGAGGGCTGTGGAAACTGTTAGGAATTTTAATTCCTAGGGAGAGAACTTGGGAGCCAGAAGTGAGCCTAAGAATTGTGGCAATGGAAAGATACATATTAACTTAGAGCCATAAGATTCTTAAGAGGTTATGATTCATAGTAGCTGGTTAGAATATATCTCCTCTCTCGCACCTCCAATAGTGATCCATCACCGCCACCTTATTGGGATGCCGGGGATCTACAGACACATTTCTTGGGTTGTCTTTATGGAAGGAGCAGACACCTAGTTTTTGTTTTTCTGTAACTTGCTCTTTTCTATTTTTTCTGTTTCAGACCAAAGAAAAGTATGGGAAGGAATGTAAAGTAAGTATGTCTGTTAAAGAATAATGATTTAATTTTATTTTTCTTTTCTTTTCAACTTGCTGGGCTTTGAGGTTCTCCAATAAAAGTCAGTGCTACACAGACTTTCATATATCATTTATATACTCATTGACTGTTAACTATTTAGTGTGAGAGGTAAGAAAGTGAGCCCTTTAATGTAAAGGTTCTTAACCTGGTGTCTGTGGATGGGCTTTGAACCCTCTGAGATGATATACTGAGTGTTGTCTGACAATGCACATAAGGATTTTAGCAGAGGAGGAAGGTCATAGCTGGCATAAGATTCTTAAAGGAGTATATGGCACTCCCCATTGCCCCCTCAAAAAGATTAATGGTCATATTATTGGTGGTGGTTACCTCTAGTGTGGGGAGGACTTCGACTCTTTAATATTTCATTTCTGTACTATGTGAATTTTTTAACTCCTGGGGAAGGGTGTTATAAATGGGATTGAAACATCAGATGGTATTTAGACTACATAATTGCTAAGGTCTCTTTTAAACCCTAGATTCAAGGATCTTTTCTTTCAATCTCCCATTGTTATTAAATCTTCTGGCCTTAATTGTCCAGATCAGAACTATTAACACTCTTTGGCTCTTATTTTGTTTTCCCAGATCTGTGCCAGACCATTCACGGTGTTTCGTTGGTGCCCCGGGGTCCGCATGCGTTTCAAGAAAACTGAAGTGTGCCAAACCTGCAGTAAATTGAAGAATGTCTGTCAGACCTGCCTCTTGGACCTGGAGTACGGTATGTTTGCCCTGTCTAACGTGTCTGAAAGCATGTAGGTGCCCGTGCCCTAGACAACAAACCAGTCTTTTTCTTTCCCATTTCTCACCCCATCTCTGGTTCTGACCCCACTTTGGAGGGCCTACTGTGCTCTACTTTTCCTAGAAGAGGAGAATCATACTAGGCCATTCTAGAGCTCTTCTGAGTAACAGGAAGAACTTAACGAAAAGTTGGGGATTAATCAGAACTAGCCCAAATCTCTCTCATACATCCCTATAGCCAAAGTGAGGGAAAGACATCGTTCCTATGATAGATAATTGCTTTGCCTTGGGCTTCTTTCAAGATTCAGAGCTCTTTCCCACAATCCCTACCAGAAGCATTGGCTAATTATGTTTTAGATTTTTGTCTCAACTGTGTTTTTAGGACTGGTATACTGGAACTGCTACTATTTTAAGGGTAACTGCTTTTGAGAGTGATTTTTTTTTTTTTTAACTAAAAGTGACTTTTTGTTAATGAGGAAAATAATTTTTCACGGGGCGCCTGGGTGGCTCAGTCGGTTAAGCCGCTGCCTTCGGCTCAGGTCATGATCCCAGGGTCCTGGGATCGAGCCCCACATCGGGCTCCTTGCTTGGCGGGGAGCCTGCTTCTCCCTCTGCCTGCCTCTCCCCCTGCTTGTGTTCTGTCTCTCTCTCTGACAAATAAGTAAAAATAAAATCTTAAAAAAAAAAAAAAAGAAAAGAATTTTTCAACAAGAATTTCTACTATACAATAAAAGGGAAAATATAAGTTTATATATATGTTAAGTTCAGAAAGATAGCTGCTAATCGAAGTCCTGGTCACATATTGTTTAATATTATTTATATATTTGTTAAAAGAAGTGTTCTGGTTCTAGAATACTGTGATCCTTACATGCTTGTGACTATCCAGAGGATCTATAAGGCAGGCTTAAAAAATAACTCACTTTTGGGACACCTGGGTGGCTCAGTCAGTTAAGTGTCTGCCTTTGGCTCAGGTCATGATCCTGGGGTCCTGGGATCGAGCTCCACATCTGGCTCCCTGCTCAGTGGGGAGCCTGCTTCTCCCTCTCCCTCTGCCTGCTTGTGCACGTGCGTGCGTGTGTGCTCTCTCTCTCTCTGTCAAATAAATAAATACATACATACGTACTTAAAAAAACAACCCACTTTTTACACTTATTTAAATAAATGCTGTTCTAGTAAAAGCTATTATTTATTATTTAAGCTATTATTTATTAATTACAGGTCAAGTTTGACTGTAACCAAACGTCGTCCATCTAAAATATGTTCTAAAACATTGATTTCAAATTTCATGACAGGTCAGGAATTTGGACAGTTTCATAGGATACTCTGTGGTAGTTTTGGCCTGATGGTAATAAAGATTTTGAATAAAAATGAAGCCTCCAATACCTAGGAAGCTGGAGAAGGGAATAATGATGTTGTATTCCATGTGCAGGTTTGGTATGGATTTGTTTTAAAATATATCTTGAGGTTTTTTCCTCTTTTCCTTTGTACCAGGGCTGCCCATCCAGGTTCGTGATGCAGGATTGTCTTTTAAGGATGACATGCCAAAGTCAGATGTCAACAAAGAGTACTACACACAGAATATGGAGAGAGAAGTATGCTGCCACTTTCTTGATGTAATTTTATATTTGGTAGAATCCTAGTGGTTTGACACAGGGTCTATACAATTTATCTTTGGAACGTGTCATCCCTCTATAGATTTCTAACTCTGATGGAACGCGGCCGGTTGGCATGTTGGGGAAAGCCACCTCCACCAGTGACATGTTGCTCAAGCTGGCCCGGACCACACCCTACTATAAGAGGAATCGACCCCACATTTGCTCCTTCTGGGTAAAAGGAGAATGTAAGAGAGGAGAGGAGTGTCCATACAGGCAAGAACTGAATTGGCACTTTCATTATCAGCTTTCAGATAATTAGTCATTTAAGAAATGGGAGGTGCTAATCTCAGATCTGTACCTCTGAAACAAATAATGCAATATATGTTAAGAAAAAAAAAAGAAGAAGGTAGCGGGAGGGGAAGAATGAAGCGGGGGAAATCGGAGGGGTGGACGAACCATGAGAGACGATGGACTCTGAAAAACAAACTGGGGTCTAGAGGGGAGGGGGGTGGGAGGATGGGTTGGCCTGGTGGTGGGTATTGAGGAGGGCACGTTCTGCATGGAGCACTGGGTGTTATGCACAAACAATGAATCATGGAACACCATCTAGAACTAATGATGTAATGTATGGGGATTAACATAAGAATAAAAAAAAAAGAAATGGGAGGTGCTAGTTTAAACTATTTCTGATTTAAAATCTACAAGTTTATACAACTAGTATGATAGATGTCATGTCTTAGGGCTATTACATTTAGAAGAGCTTGTTGAAATTGTTGTTTTTATTTGTAATGGGACTTTTACTCATAACCAGGCCTTGGGAAACTAAGTTGTTATGCCATATAATGCAGATGTTGACTCTAAAGGTAAGTCATCACTGTCATGGTATAACTAGCTTGAATCTCAGTGTATGGTTGAAGTCCAGTGAAGGCCAGGCCTCTAAAGGGTGTGTGAGTATGTTTCAGTCAAGACTGCCGAGCATCTGGACTAGGAGTTGTTGTTTTTTTTTTTTTTTAAGATTTTACTTATTTATTTGACATAGAGAGATAGCGAGAGCAGGAACACAAGCAGGGGGAGTGGGAGAGGGAGTAGCAGGCTTCCCGCGGAGCAGGGAGCCCAATGCGGGACTCGATCCCAGGACCCTGGGATCATGACCTGAGCCGAAGGCAGACGCTTAACAACTGCGCCACCCAGGCGCCCCTGGACTAGGAGTTCCTGACTTGGGGTTGGTTAACCCCACACCCACACAAAAAAAAAATTATCTATCTTTTCTTCTGGGGCTGGTCCATTAGCTTTAATGAGACTCTCAGTGGCATGCAAGACCTCAGATACATTAAGAACCATTGACCGAGAGAAGGGGAACCATGTTTTGGTTACTTCTTGTTTTGGAGTGGATTGTGCCAAAAGCATTTCTTGATTAAAAAAAAACCCTGTTACCTTAGATGGCCATTTAAATGGCTTTTAGGAGGCTGGCAAGTCTTTGTGTGATACAGTAAATCCTTTGGTATTAGCTCTGTCTTGATAATTATGTTTTGGTATGGCCATGGTTTCTAGTTCAAAAGGCATTTCCGGGTATGTGTATGTAGCTACTGTTGGGTGATACCTGTAAATTCTTTTCCTTTGTTTCACCTTTATGTGCTGTTCTTTCCTGAACCATAGACATGAGAAGCCAACAGATCCAGATGACCCCCTTGCTGATCAGAACATTAAAGACCGATATTATGGTATCAATGACCCTGTGGCAGATAAGCTTCTAAAGCGGGCTTCAACAATGCCTCGTCTGGACCCACCAGAGGACAAGACTATCACCACACTGTATGTTGGTGGTCTGGGTGATACCATTACTGAGACTGATCTAAGGTTTGTAGATAAAATTTTATGAGCTCTTTCTGCTTTTAACTGTCCTGGAATACTTTTTTAGCAAAACCACAGCAAGCATGATAATTCTGTACAAAGTACATTTTTCTTTAGTCACTCTATAGTTAGTATCGTGCCAACTAGAATTTTTATAAAATTATCTTTTCCAGGGCGCCTGGGTGGCTCAGTTGGTTAAGCGACTGCCTTCGGCTCAGGTCATGATCCTGGAGTCCCTGGATCGAGTCCCGCATCGGGCTCCCGGCTC